TAGTAGTAGTAGTAGTCGTAGTAGTAGTAGTAGTAGTAGTAGTAGTAGTCGTAGTAGTCGTCGTAGTAGTAGTAGTAGTAGTAGTAGTAGTAGTAGTAGTAGTAGTAGTAGTAGTAGTAGCAGTAGTAATGGAAGTGGTAGTCGTAGTGGTAGTGGGGGCCACAGATTGCGAGAGGGAGAGGCGCTCGCCGCGCCCCGCCCAGGCGGAGGCTGCCATGAACACGTGCACGGAGACAGGGGCGGAGTGGCCGAGGGGGGGGGGGGCGGGGCGGCTTTCTCGGAATCGGGGGCCGCGGGTTTCTTTACTGCAAAGCCTCATTTCTCGTGTTGCTGGAGTTTGTGGTGGTCACAACACGTGAGCCCGCTTCGGCGGCCACAACGCCTTGTCGGCCAGATCGCTGGCATGTCTTGTAACCATACGAAGTGCCTCCACTTCCATATGAAACCCACAATGCGCTTCGGAGTACCAGGCATCCTGGTATTCGAGTCTTGTCGCGAAAGCTTATCCACATGGGACATGGAGCATATACCAACAACCACGAAAGAGGCAGCGCCCGCTCCGTTGACACAGCCTCCGACCAAAAACAATGGCAAGGCCATTGCGCTGCTCAAGTGCTCTGTCACATTGGCGTGACTCAGTGTGTCCATGCCGGCCCTTCTGTTTTTTCGGAACATTTAGTTGGTTCTCGACGGTTTTTTAACCTCCGGATGCCTTCAGCGGCTGCCCGAGTCATGGCCCGAGAACCACCAGGGGCAGCGTAGGGTGAGCTGGGCGCCAGAGGGACTCAGATATCCTCGCGTCGTGAAGAAACGACGACAGGAGGTGGAGGGCTGGAGATAGCACGCTACGCATGGAATGAACGACGAAAGGCAACGAAATCTATGAGCTTTCTGGTTTATGACTAGTGAACAGTCGCATCGAGTCAATTGACTGGTGGAAGCGATGATGCACTCCTTGGATGGTGGAGGCTGTGATGTACTCCTCTGATTGGGGCACTGAAGGCGTGGAGGGTGGGAGCGGGGGAGGGGAGAGGGTTGCGAGAGCAGGTGGCGGAGGGAAGGGGAGAGGAGGGGAGCGAGTCAGGAAGGGAGGAGGCGGAGGAGGGCCAAGGGAGAAGAAGTTGGACGGAGTTTGCGGGAGGAGGGAAGAAGAGAGAGAGAGAGAGAGAGAGTGGAAGGGCGGAGGAGGCGGAAGGATGGAGGCGGGAGGGGGGAGGGGGGATGGAGGGGAGCAGAGGGGGGAGGGAGTCTGCACGAGGAGGGAGGCAGTGAGGGCGGAGGGGTAGGATGAACGGAACGAAGCAGCGCTGTCTTTGGTCGCCGAGGCGCTTGCATTGCTCGTCTGCGTCGCATTGGCGACTTGCCCCGACCGGCCGCGCACGTCCTGGAGCCCGCTGGAACCACTCAGAATCACCCAACAGCCCTCTCCTTTGCCTCTGCCTCCTCCTCCTCCTCCTCGCTTGCTCCTCCTCCTCCTCCTCCTCCTGCTCCTCCTCCCTCCTCTTCGCTCCTTCTCGCCCGTACTCTTCGCCCCTCCTGGCTCGTCGACCTCGCTCTCCCTCCGTCCTCGTCCCCCCCCTTTCTCGTTCCCGTCGTCCTCCTCATCCCTGCGCTGGTTCAAGAGCGTGTCGTCCGTTTTGACATCGATATCATCTCCAGAGGTGTGCGTCGTCGCCCTCCTCGCTCATCCCCTCCTGTTCTCTCTCTCTCTCTCTCCTGCTGCTGCCCCACCACCTGCTCGTCGTCCTCGCATGTCCCCCTCCCTCCTCATCCTCCTCTTCCTCCTGCATCCTTCTCCTTTCTCCTCTTCCTCTCCCTCCCTTCTTCCCCTCCTCCCTCCTTCCTCCTCTCTCATCCCTCCTCCCTCCTCCTCCCTCCTACCTGCTACCTCCCTTCCTCCCACCCTACCTTCCCCCCCCCTCCTCCCTCCTCCTCCTCCTCCTCCTCCTCCTCCTCCTCCTCCTCCTCCTCCTCGTCCTCCTCCTCCTCCTCCTCCCCCCTCCCTCCCTCTCCCTCCTCCTCCTCTCCTCTCTCCTCCTCCTCCTCTCCTCCTCCCTCCCTCCCTCCCTCCCCTCTCCTCCCCTCCCCTCCCCTCCCTCTCCCTCCCCTCCCCCTGCCCCTGCCCCTGCCCCTCCCCTCCTCCTCCTCCTCCTCCTCCTCCTCCTCCTCCTCCTACATTCAGCCGCTGTTCGTGTCGGGCGCCGGTGCACTCGAGCATACACCGCGGCATCAAGGTGATCGGATCACTGCAGGTTGGAGAGGAAGCACCGAGCACTCGCAATGAATTTTCTAGTCCACCCATTCCTCCTCAACACCGCCTCCAATGCTTTCCTCCCCCACCTCATCTCCAAGACTGGTGACAGGAAGAAACGGCTCCCCATACACGCACTGAGAGATGCCGTCCCCATAGCGTCTCGGGCTCCGCTGAGCTCGAGCACACACCGCGACATCAAGGTGCTCGGTCCACTGCAGGTTGCAGAGGAAGCACGGAGCGTTTTCCTCCTCCTCCACCACTCTGTCCTCAATACTTCCCCTGCGTATTAGGCCCCTGGTCTGCCCCGGTGGCCACGTGCCTCACGGGCCTACCACCACGGCCAGGAATGTGACGGCGCTGCGGACCGAAGAGCGGGGCTACACCCAGCCGCTGTTCGTCTGGGGTGCCGCTGCGCTAGAACATGCACCACAACAATAACGTGCTCCAACACGTGTTGCAGAGGAAGCAACCGACCGCCCGCAATGAGTGCTCTCAGCTCCCCCATCCATCCTCGAACTCCTCCGCCAGCACCTCCCCCGCAGTGTCCACGCGGCACTTCTGTCGTAACGGCGCTGGCTGCTGGAATGTACTCATCTTATCCACTCCCTCATCGAGGGCACTGCGGCAGCTTGATGATGAACATGGCCTCACTGAGGCAGTGTTCCTACAGAGTGTGTCGCGCTAGACCTCTCGTCTATCTGGCGTCTCCATCACCGCATTACCAGCCTGCTCCTCCACCTCCTATCCATCAGCGCCCTCATCGGGGGGCGGTGCGGCAGCTTGATTGCGAAAGAGGCCTCACCGAGGCAGTACTCCTTCAGAGTATGGCGCGCCAATCTCCCCATCCAAACTCACGTTTTTTCCCTCTCCACCATTGGAATCACATCAGGCAGAAACATAACGAATGCGCACGATCATGGTCCATCAGCAAGCAGCAACGACACGGAAGAACCAAGAGCGAGCGGGCGCTCTGCCCATTCGCAGGATTCGAAGAGGCATGCACAGGCATCCACCAAAGCGGACGCACATACAAGAGCGCTTCCCCAGCCAGCAGCGGGGGACGGTCCGAAGGAGCGGGATGGGCGAGAGGAGAGGGGGGAGGTCCGACATCTGTTCGAGGAACAAATCAAAGCCGTCACCATCGAGACTCTGCGTGACGACGTGCCCAGCGACGACACGCCCAGCGACGACGCGCCAAGTGCGCGCCTGGAGGACTAGAGGAGGAGGGCGACGACGAAGATGGATGAAAATACTGTGGTGCATGATAATGCAAATCGGAATATGTAAGTTCAGCCGTCGCCGTGCCGAGCCTCTGATGTCTGTCTGAGCGCCGCGTGGATACATGGAAGATCAAAGTTAACCCCTTTCACAATCAGTTTGCCACTTGCGAGGAGCTTATTTCGAAGGTGTTGCCTTGCCGGCTCTTTTTTGAGACAGCTTGATCAGATTTTTTGTCCTGGTTTCAAAGTTGACCGCATCACCTGGACCACCGTGTTGCGAAGAAGAATGTGCATTGCGGGGTGGAGCGTCCTTTTTGGCCGCGTTCACGGTGGTGTACGTGTCCTTTCTGGCCGCGGCCGTCTCCGTGTGGGCTGCGGTTGCCTCCTCCGCCTCTGGATCGGCAGTCGCCTCTGGAGATTCTGCAACGGTGGTCGTCCCGGGTAGAGCGGGCGCCCCTCATGAGGCAGGCACATTTGGCCTGTCCGCAATTCCTTTGGCGAAATTTGGGATGCTTGCAACGAGCTCCATGTCATCGCCATTGTCCTCAGTCCCACCACCTGCAGACCACTCTTCATCATTTGGCACACCAGCGTCAGATGTATGGTGTTCAATATTGGAAGTATCACCATTGCAACCAGAAAACACGTTGTCTGATTGATTCACTTCTTCTGGCTCGATTCTGGGCGTGTACTCCCGAGGCGGACAAGGGTATGCATGCGCAACCGCTGTAGGCACAAACTATTATTCGAACCCGTTCATATAGTGCAGGGGATAATCGGAGGAAGAAGGAGCCCATCATGATACCGAGACTGACGCTGTGGATCCAAGTCCTGCGTTTGAGGCGTGTGCGGAACACCGCAGAGAGTTCCTGCGCCACCCATTCGCGAAAAGCATTCGAGCTCTGCTGTGTCCTTCTGCGCCCGCAACATATGAGCACGACGGTCACGCAGACGACGATGTCTGGACCTGCTGGTGGATGCTTCGTACCGAGTGTTGCTGCCGCTGCAGGGTCACCGTCTCCGACAAATTTGGGACTGCGGCGCACGGCCGGTGTACATGTCTGGGTAATTATGCTCGCGGCCGCCCGCGGAGCGGACGGGCTGCGCGCTTGGCCGCTGCCCGGAAGAGGAAGGCTTGTCCTTCCGCCAAAATTTCTCGGGCAAGCGGTTTCCTTCTCCTCCTCCTCGTCCTTCTCCTCCTCTTCCTCCTCCTCCTCGTCGTCGTCGTTTTCCTCCTCCTCCTCCTCCTCATCGTCCTTCTCCTCCTCTTCCTCCTCCTCCTCCTCCTCCTCCTCCTCCTCCTCCCTTCCCCACCCTCCCCCCTCAGGAGATGGAGATGCCCTTCCTCAAGGGCATCGAGGTGGGGCCTGGCGAGGAGTCCAACAAGGCCCTGGCCGCCTGCGACGCGGCCGCCACTCAGGCGCCCCCGCCCGCGATCGGGGAGCAGGGCGAGGGCAGAGCTCGAGCTGGACAGTGTTTTGGCGATGTCGTGGACCGTTTTCGTTTTTGATTTCGTTGTGAAGCAAGGGTGGAGCGGAGGCAGAGCGAGGGACAAGCGAGCGGCTCGCAGAGCAGTGTCGGATCCGAAGACCACCTGTCTGGCCCCGCCGCCCAGGCCAAAAGTCAGGGGGAGGGGGGGTTGAAACGCCGAGCGCGGGCAAGGACGCCTGACGATTCGGTGGAATACCCCTGAGGGGAAGAGGGGGAGGAGGGGGGGAGAGGGGGAGGAGGAGGGGAAGAGAGGGGGAGGAGGAGGGGGAGACGTAGGGAAAACGAAAACAAAACGAAAACGAACAACACGGTTTAGCTCGAGCCCTGTGGAGGACCAGGGGCAGCGTCGCGGGCTGGGTAGGCTGAGGAGTGCGGGAGGTTGCGGAGGCTTTCGGGCGCTCTCGTCGGGCATCGGCGATTTTCCAGCTCTGGGGTGCGTCCCGGCGGCTGCGCCTCGCCGAGAGCGTTCCGAGGGGTGCCCTGATTGTGCCGGCCGGCCGCCTGAGGCTTGGGTGCTATGACCTGCGAGCCAGACGACGAGGATCATCGTGGGGAGATCGGCTCAGGGGGGAGATGCCGACCCCGAGTCGCCCACTCATCGCCGACAGCTGGCCCGAGAGCCCACACCCCGCGCAGGAACGTGCGGATTCTTCGTCGGGGGCCTGGCGCCGACGTAACTCGGCGCCTCGTCGCCGATGCCAGACCCCCCCCCCCACCGCTGCCCCTCACAGGAGGAGGCGACGCCTGCCTGCCTGCCTGCTCATCCCGGAATCGGCCACAAGTGGTGTGCGTGTCCTGGCGGCGGACGGAGGTTCGCTTCGTCCGGAGTGGCGCACCCCGGCGGGCGGGGAGCGCCTCCGGCACGCGGCGGGGGACGTCCTTTGGTGTCGTCCGCGGGGGTGGCGCTCCCCCCGCCCGGGGAGGCCGAGGACGAGCGTCGAGCAGATGCGGCCGGAGTACGGGGGGTCCGATGGGGTCCGAGTATGTGGGCGGTCCGAGCAGAGGGGGTCCGAGTAGATGGGGTGCGAGCAGATCCGGTCCGAGCAGGTGGGGTCGGGGCAGAGGGGGCCCGATGGGGTCCAGAGCAGACGGGGGCGGATCCCCCCGGCCTGTCAGAGGGGGTCCAGGCAGATGGTGTCGGAGGATCGCGCCGCATCGCCGATGCATCGGCGATGCGGCTCGATTTAGAGTCCTATTTTTTCCACGCCGACGGCCGCCGATGCATCGGCGATGCTTTGGCGCTGCGGCGCGATCCTCTGACCCCATGTGCTCGGACCTCGTTTGGGAGGCTCCAGGGGAGGAGCCTGTGGCTTGCGTATCCTGCGGCGATGCCGACCACGAACATGATCTGCTCTCAAGCACAGCAGAGCTTGACAGATTTTTTGTGTCCACTCATTTTGGTAGGAGGTTGCCAGGGGGCCTTCTGCACCTGTGGGAATGCGAGGCCTTACAATCCCGCTCGCGGGTCGCACAGCGGAGGATAATGAGGGGGAGGGGACCTTCCCTTTGGGCGCTCCCTCTTCCAAATGTTTATTAGCCCCTCTCGCAGACTTGCCGAAACGGTAATTGATGTCGCTTGATTTGTATCGCCAGCATCTTTCCTTCATTGTCAGGTGTACTTGAACAGTGTGGTGACTTTATTACCCCAACTTCTGACTTTCTTCGCATGAATTGTACGGGTTCGGTTGTGCCTACAGGCTCGTGACTCAACCTGGTTGTGTTTCGAATCCAGGTAGGAGAAGGCAGACATTTGCAAACGCTGCACAAGCAGCATCGTCCGCAGCATAGTGGAATTTTGCAAGTCGCGTGCGTGTCGTTTGAGTCGGCAGCCTGAGAAACAGTCCGTGGTCTTGAGCTCTCGCTTGCGAGCGGGCCTGACCCACTGTAAAGCAGCATCTCAGCCTGCGTCTGCAAGCCTGGCGGAAGGGCGGTTCTGGACAACATTCCGCGTCTAATGTTGGGTTCAGGAGTTGCAGCTGAGTATGCAACTGGGGTGCACGAGCCGGCTGGACGTCTTATGCCGAGGGCGGATGTTTTACAGTCTGTCGCGCGTTTTCCTTCTCCGTTCTCCTTCCTCTTCGTCTCTTCCGCCGCCTCCTCCCCCTCCTCCTCATCCTCCCTTCTCCTCTGGGGTTATGTTCCATGTTTTTGGTTGCAGCGCGATCTGATCACAGTGCCCGCTGATGCGTGACAGGCGTTTCGGGGGCTGCGCTTCATGCAGACACATAATGAAGTTGCAACGGACGGGCACGGCGCGCCTGGTCGTGCTGCGTGGGGCGTTCTCGCAGCACCCCCCGCCCCAGGCGCAGGCCTCCACGAGCCAGGCGTTCGCCCTCGTCAAGCAGAGCCTGGTCGCCGCGGGCAACTACACCGACAAGGAGCTGGGCCAGGCGAACAAGGAGGCCCTGACCGAGCTCCAGGATCGCCGCGCGAGGAGGGTGCGGCGGCGGAGGCGGAGGTGGAGGAGGCGGGGAGGGGAGGAGGATGGATACGAGACGGGGGAGGAGGAGGACGAGAAGCGGGAGGTGGTGGCGGAGGAGGGCGAGGGCAATGGGGTGTGCTTGTTCCATCTTTGTCTGGAGCGTAGAGAACAGTGCAAGGCCGTTCCATTTTCACAAATGGTTCTCGCCCGAATGGCAGCACCATGCGGCGCCCGTCTCTTCCTAGGGCGCGTCTTGCAGTGAAAGGGGATGCCTCCCAGATCTTAAGAGGACGGGGCCTGCACAAGAGGGTGTGTTGCAGCACCGTTGATGCATCCTGGGTGTACGCTGGTCCACCCCATGCTCCTCCTCCTCCTCCTCCTCCTCCTCCTCCTCCAGGTTCCTCCACCATTCATGAGGCGACGAGCCTTTGCGCGGCCTGAACCGTGAACGACAGAACAAGAGAGCTTCGCTCTTGCACTGTGTGGTATCCGAGACTCTCCGCCTCCGACAGGCGCATCATCATCATCACCATCATCATCATCATCATCATCATCATCATCATCATCATCATCACCATCATCAACATCATCCTCATCCTCATCCTCATCATCATCATCATCATCATCATCATCATCATCATCATCATCAGGATCACCATCATCAGCGTCATGATCATCATCATTGTCGTCGTCGTCGTCGTCGTCGCATCATCATCATCATCATCATCATTGTTGTTGTTGTTGTTGTTGTACGTAGTTGTCGTTGTTGTTGCTGCTGTTGTTGTTGGTGGTGGTGGTGGCTGTGTTGTTGTTGTTGTTGTTGTTGTTGTTGTTGTTGTTGTTGTTGTGGTTGTTGTTGTTGTTGTTGATGTTGCTGCTATTGTTGCTGTTGCTGCTGCTGCTGTTGTTGCTGCTGCTTTTTTTTGTTTTTTTTGAGTGTTTTTTGTTTTGCTTATTATTCTTCTGATTGCTACACTCATAGTTATCATTGTTGTTATTGCTATCATCACCATCACCAGTGCCATGTTCCTCACTCGCTCGTCGGCACAAACTTCATTTACAGCACTACGATGTTTCATATTGGTTCATGTCTGCCTTGAGGACGACTGCAGGTCGCCGCAGCATTCCGGATGCGCAGGATATTGGTATCGCTGTCGAGCCACATATCACCGTGCCCTTAACGCACTCGCTACATGTGGGCAGAGTGCCACAACTTTTCGTCGACCCCACGACCCCTTCCTACTCCACCCTCCACCCTCCATAAGGTTGAGTTCAGCATTGGCATCACCTGGCAGTATCCCGTTGAATCCAGGTTTCGTTCCGCTTAATCGTGCCCGATCCCGGGAGTAATTCGACCAGATCCAGCTTCATGGCCTCTCCAGCTGGCGCAGTAGGCCTGAATTGTTTCTGTGAACACCTCCCGGGAGCTGCTTGTGAAAATCCTCCTCGACCTTCCTTTACCCCCCTCCTCCTTCGCCCTCCCCCTTCCGCCCCCCTCCCCCTCAGGAGGGATCAGAAAAGCGTACACGTACGTGAATTTTCGTGGGTTTCGAGAGTATGCGTTGCGCGAACGCTCGCAGCACGAGGCTGGCCTCGCAGACTGGGGCCCGTATTCGTGCACGTGGCTGGGCGCGTACGTCCTCTGCGGGCTCCATCCCGCCCTCTCCCCCTCCCCGCAGGGAGACCCGCCCTGCTCCCGATGCATCCTGCGAGAGGGGGTCCTGCTTGCGGGCGGGCTCCTCGTCATCCCTCCCGCGGGTGTGCTCCTCCCAATTCATGGCCTTTGTGGGCTTCTGGATCCCCCCCCCCACAGGAAACCGCCGCCTCGCTGACGAAGAAGCTGACAGACTTCCGCGCCTCCACTGCGGAGCGGAAGACGGCCGCGGTCGTCGCCGAGGCGGGCGGCCCCGCCCCCCCCCGCTCAACGGGCACGGGGCTCGGGCGGTCTTGTCTTCCTCGAGCCTTCCTTCCCCCATCCCCCGGACCCCCGGGGCAGCGGTCGAACAAGTCCTTTCGACTGTCCGCATCCTGCCCTTTTTCCTCGCTCGCCTCCTCCTCTTCCTCCTCCTCCTCCTCCTCCTCCTCCTCCTGGTCGTCCTCCTCCTGGTCCTCCTCCTCCTCCTTCTCCTCCTCCTCCTCCTGGTCCTCCTGGTCCTCCTGGTCCTCCTGGTCCTCATCCTCCTCCTCCTTCTCTTCCTCCTCCTCCTCCTGGTCCTCCTCCTCCTCCTCCTCCTCCTCCTCCTCCTCCTCCTCCCCTCTCCTTCTCCTCGCCCTGCTCACCCCCCTGCCCTGGTGCCCGCCTTGGTTTCAGGCAGCGGCGGCCACTGGGGGCCAGGGCATCGTGAGGCCGGGGTGTCCAGCTCGGGCAACCACGGGGCTGTGCCCGTCGAGGGTGGGAGGCTTTGCCTCGGCACCCGGGTGGAGGGCCCACGACCGCCCGAACCAGCGACGGGGCAGCCCCCCGGCAGCTCCTGAGCGGCGAACACATCCGCATCCGCGCCCTCGCGGTCTGGATTCCCGGGCGCGATCCCGCGGACGTGCGGACCGCGCGGGGCATCCGCGACAAACACGCCCCGTGCGCGCGGGGTCGCGGCCCGGAGGCCTGGCCCCGCG